TTCCTATTGTCCACGCCGCACCTCAGACCCTCCAGGTTTTAGTGGGCTCAAGAGAATTCAGCCTATTTCCCCACTAACCTTTTTCCTTTCAGGTGAGTCTCAATGCAGCTCAGCTCAGCTAGTGGATTCCAGCTTTTGCTGGGTCCGCAATGGGACCGCTGAGGGACCGCTGCAGGGCAGGCAGGCAGGGCTCCACTTTGTAAAGCTTCTAAAATAATGTATTAGCAAAAGTTCTTATTCAAAATCCTACTGTTCGCGTCACGCTGTGATGGTCAGTCTCTGTGGAGCGTAAAGTACTCTCTGGTATCCTCTCTACGCAGGTTGCTATCCCTCTGGCTCTTCACACTGTGCTCTCCACCTCTGCCATCTTCCCTCCTCCCCGAATGTCTATAGCCAGTCTCACTTTCTCTTACATACCTACCCTCATTACCCCAGCTATTGTATCAATTCATCTCACTCAGGGTCGTCTTCTACTGCACTGTCCCTCGACCCTTCCAAGCATGTTAACCTTCTCCAAAGACAATATGCCCAAAATGATATCCTCCTTCTGGCTGCATGCCCCAAAGTACATGAGACAGAGCCTCAAAATCTTTGCCTCCAAGGAGAAACTTGGTTTCACCCAACCTAAGACATATCTGTTAGTTCTCTTGGCAGTCCATGGTATGTTCAGGACTCTTCTCCAGCACCACAACTCAAAAGCATTGATTCTTCTGTCATTCTTGGTCACTGTCCAGCTCTCTGGTGCATAGCAAGTAATTGCAAAGAACATGATCTGGATCAGGCACACCTTAGTCTCTAGACTGACATTTTTGCTCTTCAGCACTCTGGAGAGGTCTGTCCCTGATAGCAGATTTTTCTAATGCCATTTGACTTTTGATTTCCTGACTGCTGATGCCAAGAGTGTTGACTGTGGTACCAAGAAGCTGAAATTGGTAATAACCTCAATCTCTTCTCCGTCTATCATGACACTATCAATTGGCCCAGTGGTGAGAATATTCATTTTCTTGATGTTGCGTTTCAATACATATTGTGGATTATAGTCCTTGACTCTTTGCAGCAAATGCTTCAGGTCTTCCTTAGTTTTAGCAAGCAAAATTGTATCATCTGCATAACACAAGTTGTTGTTGAGTCTCCAATTCTTATTTCACATTCCTCCACAAAAAATAATTTCATGGGAGTTGCAGGACAGTGGCTAGAAAGGCCACAAAAAAAGTGATTCACTGTATAACAGTACTGTAACTTACAGTGAATAAGGGGAGGGAGAGAGTTGTGAAGGCAAAAAGCCTGGGGGGAAATAAAAGATAAAAATTATCCAAATTAGGTAATTAAGCAACATAGAAAAATATTACAAAGCCCAAGTGTTGGAATTTATTATTCATTTTTCCAAATAATGGCCTGAATTTCATGGGTAAAGGTGAGTGTGTAGAAATGTTGTATCTTTGACCTTCCTGCTTATCTCATGGCAGACTCATTGTGGCATGCCAAAAAAGATAGGTGGATCCAGTCCACCTGGGGTTATTGCCCTACTTTCACTCTTTCAGGCCTTGCAGACAACCAACTACATGTGCCCATAGACTGGTCATCACTGTGAGTGGCAGAGAGTCTATAAATATGCCATATGTACTGGATAGTGCAAATGGTTAATACACCTGACTATTAACTGAAAGAGGTTTTTTAACTACCCCAAAGTGTCTTGGAGCAAAGTCCTGGTTTTCTACTTCCAATAAATCAGCCACTGAAAACTCTATAAAGCACAATTCTACTTTGACAAACACTTGGTCACTTTGAGCCAAAATTCACTGAACAGATGCTGGTTTGTCATTACAAGCAGCACCATCAGATGATGATGGTGGCATAGTAAGAAAGCATACCCAAAAACGTTAGATCTAGATGTTATGTACTGTCAAGCTGACTACAACTCAGCGACCCTATGAACAATGAATCTGAACCCTGCCCTTTCCTGTGCCATCCTCACTATCTCCAGCATACTTGAGCCCATTGTTAAAGTCCTTGTGTCAGTCCATCTTGTTGGGAGTCTTCCTGTCTTTTGCTGATCCTCCACCTTTCCAATCATGATATCCATCTCCAAGGACTAGCCCCTCTTAACAACATGCCCAAAGTATGTGAGTTGGAGATTCACCATCCTTGCTTCCAAGGAGCACCCTGGTCACACTTTCTCCAAGACAGACTTGTTTGTTTTTTTGGCAGTCCGTGGGCAGTCCAGTACTCTTCTCTAACATCATAACTCAAAGGCATTGATTCTTCTACTGTCATCCTTAGTTATTATCTACCTTTCAAATACATAGCAAGCAATTGAGAAGACCATGGTTTGGATCAGGCTCACCTTATGCAATGATAAAATATGATTAAGCTCACGTTTCAGAATAACACGGTTGGAGGCAGAAGCAGCTTGATCATTCCCATCCTGGTCTTCCAGGTCCCTAAGAGGATCTCTCCTCAAACAGAGCACCTTCACCCTCAATCTCAACACCTGAGATGCCACACTCCACAGATACTTACAGAATGTTATAGAAGATATATTTTATGTTTCATGTATAATATGGCTTCTATAAGATTGATGTCAGAGTCAATAGTGTATAAATTTCACTGGCATTCTGTAATTCACTCATACCCTCAAAATATGTATTGAGTATGTAGTGTGTTCTAGATACTTTTCTAAGTGCTGAAGACACACCAGTGATTTAGAGCAGAGCATGTACCTTTATAGAAAAGGTTGATACTTGGGTCCACTGAGAGACATCTTGGAAGAAAAATCCATCAACCTACATTCATAACATTCAGGCCATTTAAAACCCTGTGGAGTCCAGTTTTACTCTGATACACATGAGGTCACCCTGAGTTGGCAACTGGTTGTATCATAATGGAACTTAAATTCTAGTGGAGAAAAAGAGTCACTTAATGCCATTGAGTCAGTTCTAACTCATAGTGACCCTTCATCATGTTTCTGAGGCCATAAATCATTATGTGAATATATTATCCATCTTCCTCTGTTGGTGCTACTGATGGACTCAAACCTCTGGAGACACACAGCCTTCTGGCTAGTACAGCAGCACAGTATGAACCATGCCCCACAGACAGTGGGAAAGGCAAGTGCAGCTAGTATGGGCTAGGTACTTTGCATAGTTTACTCTCATTCAATTCTCATCATTCCCTTGATTTTAGATATTGCCATGTCCATTTCACAAACCAAAGGTTAAGAAAGTGTGCATCAAGAGGGTGGGCCATGGTTTAGCCCCAGGTCAGTCAGATGCCAATCCCTGGTTTTCTCCCTTGCTCACAGACCTTTGCTGATTCCTGCTTTTTCCTATAGGTCAACCCAGATCGGGCAGACCGCAGACTGAACCACTTCAAGGTCTACAAGGACATCACTCTGTACAGTGCAAAACTGTGGAGCTTGGGAGAAGGCAATGCCCGCAAGTAATGTTTCAGTAGTGGTATCCATCCCTGTATTTTTCACTCATGTCCACAGTGGTGCTGCCACGCAGATCAATAAATATAACTTTAAAACTCAAGTCTGACTTTTCTTATCCTGAGCCTGTTGCTTCCTTCATTTACCCCCACCCCAACTATATTGGTTCAAATCCTTAATCTTAAAAACTGGTGAGAAACTTCTACTTAAAGATGACAGACCAAGTGCATGCTATTACTTTCTTTGCTTTTCCAGATCCCAATCAAAGATAATAAAGTGATAACATTTAAAAACAACAACAACAAAAAGTGTTGAACCCAAAGTTGCTAAGATGTGAGACAAACAGTACCAAACAAGAAAATGTAAGGAAGGCATTTTCAGAAGAGGGATAGATGACAGAGAAAGGAGGAAGAAACCAGAAAATGTATGTGGACAAGGAACCCAGAAATCTTAGTGAGACATTCCAGACTCTGAGATGTTATTGTTGTTGTTGTTAAATGCCTTCAAGTCAACTAGAACTCATAGCAACCTGATGAGCAAAGAATCTGAACCCTGTCATCCCCATCTGTGCCATCCCCACCATCTCTGACCCTTTATCAGACCCTATGAACAACAGATCTCAATCCTTCCCTATCCTGTGGCATCTTCACCATCTCTAATACACTCTGTGTATCAGAGATACTATACCCGACAGAGTGAGGAAATTATCGAACAATGTCACTGATATCACACACAAGCAAAAACCTTCTAAAGATTGTAAAAAAATATATATATATGACTGGAACAGTACATTGACAACTACTAGAAATAAAAGCGGGGTTTAGAAGAGGCCATGGCACTAAGAGACATTATGGCCAATGCCATATGGATCATGGCTGAGAGCAAAGATTACCAAAGGAATGGCTGTCTGTGTTTCATTGACTGTACATAGGCATTTGACTGTGTGGACCACAACAAATTGTGGCTAACCTTGAGAAGACTTGGAATCCCAGAACACTTGACTTCGCTCACACAAAGTCTTGGACTAGGAGGCAGTCATCAGAATAGAGCAATAAAACACAGCATGATTCAAAATCAGGGAGAGCATTATGGATGCGTTTTTGTTTCCATACCTTTTCATAAACATTTACAGAGATTTTGGGTTTCCATTCATTCATTGTTGCACTATTCTCTCTACCCTCCTCCCAGTTTGTTCTTGTCCAAATGCCAC